AAACATAAAAAGTAAAATATAACAATACCATTATTATATATATCAACATAATAAAATTGTTTACACAAACCGTTTTCTAACAAACAGTAATTAAACAAAATTATAATACACAATACTTCCTTTACAATATTGTTTAATGATATATATATGAACAAGTTTAGTCACTATCGAAACAAAAAACATTATAAATTAATTTATGCATTATTAATTTTTAAATAATTTTGGGGTATCTTTAACATATAGTTTGTGACGACGTTATATACATTATATATTCAATTAATAATTAAATAATAAAGTATGTTCATTTATTAATTATTATAATATATTTGTGCTTACCTTTTGACGATAATCCATTTTATCCAAGTTGTAATTGTAGAAAAATCTGTAGTTGACACCAGTAACAGGAAGGTCCAGCAATTGCATTAATAACTTTATACGTTGCGCGTAGAATATGATTTTATCTCACAAATAATCACAATTTGTATTACAAGTACATCGCAAAATTAAGCATTCCTTTTGATCAATCTTTTGATAATTATAAATCCTACGGACAATGTTGCACACTTTGTTACCCCCCACCACATATAAATAAAAATGGCGTGAGCGCTCATAAAACCAAAGGTCTTCGATCTACATATTACATGATGTACGACCAGCTATAGATTTCTTATTCTCTGTTAAGTCCATTTTCATTAATTTTATGTAATGTACTTTCATAAAAAATTATAACTTTTTTCTTGAATAGAAATATGGTTAGTACTATATCAATTATGAAATTATTAATCACATTTCAAATTAATCAGTTTAATAACATTTAGTTCACGATGATGATATATTACTCTAATTGTAAATTTAACTATAAAAACTACAGCAGAAATCGCAAACGGTAATATTTTAAATTATACATATAACACTAAATTATTATTACATATTTATATGTATATATATGGTTATATTTTTTATTATAATAAAAAATAAATACTTTTCGATTATCATACGGTGCATGTTATGAAATAATTACTAAAATTACACATATATTATATACATATATTAAGTTAGAATGTTTTTCAAAAATTTGTAAGAATAAACCAACGAATGTTTAAATATATCTATAAAGCAAAAACTTTAGGTATTCTTTTTACTTGTATGAAATTAATAAATGTAGCCTTAATTATTATCTTTATGTCTGCTACTCAATAAATAAACTATGTATATTTTTATATTTAATGACGATATATTTTTCCTTTTTATTTATCTATACAAATTTTATACTCACATTATTTTATATATATTAAATACATATTTATATTTACTTTGAAAATTATTTACGTTTTAAATCTTAAAACGAAATAAGGTTTTTTATTCTTTTAAATAATGAGATTAGATAATCGTTTAATACAATCTTTATGAAAGGAATCATTTATTGGATTTTTGTATTATTTAGAATTCAGTTTCTTTCATTGCATTAACAATAAGTTAAAGAAATGCTATTATGTATAGTAGGCGTTATAGTAGGTAGTATTATGATTAGGTTTAAAATATAATTGCAATTAATTTTTTATAGGTTATAAGGATAAAATTAAGTAACAAATAGGAATGTCTTATATTTATACATGTAGCTTCCTATCATAGGTACAGCTATAAAACAGATATCTCCGATTAAGATTTTGTTTGATATAATGATATTAATATGCATATTATGGATACATAATATAATTATATATATATAACATAAATATATATAATAAATATATAATAATATATATAACATATATAACATAAATACATATAAATTTATATTTATATATAACATAAATTTAAGTCTTAAGCTCGGTCTCCACCGTTTAAGAAGTATGCAGATGTGAAACTGAAAATTTTTAGCATATTTTACAAGTTAGTATAATGCCATATTGCTTCTATCCGTAATCTGATTGGTCTGCACAGATGAGCATTGAACTGAAATTTGTCGAACATTAGTTTGTACTAGCGTAATCGGCCGCTTAACGGCAGCCAGAGAATAAAACACTCCAAACGTAATCCAATACTCACGATTCAAAATCCCGCTACAATATGGTCGATACACACCTGCAGTTATTGCAACTAGCAGCTCCACTCATTGAACGAATTGTAGATAGAGACAACATGGCATCAAAGTAAAATGCCAAATACGCTAAAAACGCTCAACTTTACATACTTTTGAACCGCTGGATTCCTAAAGTTAAGACTTTCATTTTTTTGTTTCAACGCATTGGAAACTGTTAAATTTAATAAAAAAAGCAAAAGTTCGTTAAACCGAAATTCTGCCATCAAATGCGCTAAAGAAAACTTGACTAACAATATAAGTAGACTCAGAGGAAATTTCCTTCCTGCTGTTAGCTTTTATGGACAATCACTTTATTGAGAATTTGTTATATAACTCTATCCAAACTCCTCCAATGCAAACAGTTATGTTCTTTACCTAAAATGACTCCTATTCATTATTTTTAATATGGTTCAATGCAGATTTTCTTCTATCGATGACACTCATTTTTTTGCATCTTGAGTCATGTTTATGTTTTATTCCGATAAATGTGTTAAATACATAAATAACTATGAGAAATGATCCTGAAGCTCCTTTGAATATGATACCTATTATAGTTACATAAATGCAAACATTGCAAACATTTTATAATACAGTTGCTAAAATTTTCCTGAAAATATATGTAATCCATCATATATTTTTTATTATTTATTTTTATTGATCAACTGTTTGACCATCATGAATTATATCATAATATACAAAATGTTAGAAAAGAATGTTCTAAGATCATGTAATCTTAGTATCTATTGAGAGAAATAAGAAGTTTCTAATTAACATATTTAAGTCTTAAACTCAGTTCTTTTGGTGTCATATCAAGCTTTATGTCTATGACATTTTTCAATCAAAGAGTAGAGATAAAAGAGAATGTAATTTTCAAAATAAAAGTTCTGAAACATGATAATAAGCATTATACAGTTTTTCATATGCACATCTTACTAAGAAGGGGTAATTTCAACTTACATCATACTGATTGCAATGAAATTTAGGAATGATAATAGATTTACATATAAAATAAACATATCTGTAATTTTAGTCACAAATAGCGAACTAATTATAAAAAATGCATAATGCATTTTAAGTTTGAACAAACCATATGTTGCTGCATTCAAGTATTACAGCAGATCATTCAACAGTGATTGTGACTTAGCGACAATCATACAGGATTTGGAACTTTTGTGTCTCAGGTTTGTATTTAGTTGGGAGAACTTCTTTCTCAGAATAATTACATCATATGTTATAATTATGGAAATCTGAATTATTTTATACGTATTTTTTTATAAATTATTTTGCATCTCTTATTAGTAAAGCAATTTTACATAAAAATAATATATACTTACATGTTATAATTTAAGGTAAAATGTAGTTCATTTTATTAATGTAAAGTTATTTAATTACTTTAAGAATAATTTACATATTAAACTAAATACATACTATAAATAAAACAAAATTAAATTACATAAATGTATAAATTAAATATAACATGTAATATAAAAATATTTACACATGTAATTTAAAGTATACAGGATAGGTAATACAATGTTATTCTTAGAATACACTTGTACAGGCTGCACATACAAACAGATGAAATTTATCAAAAAAGTAATCGAAACAAATTTATATAACAATGAATATTTCACAAAAGAAAACTATTCACGTGAACTATTATAACTACATGTATATACCGCATATATACATGTATACATATACAACTTCTCCGCGAAGTTGATGTCATACAAATTTTATCATCTGTTTATATACAAATGTTTATAGTTGATCATATATTAATGAATGTATTTTTATAACGTCATTCCAAATACTCAGGCTTCGGTTTTCTCGAAGAGCCCCCGCATACAGGTTTAAAACTTACAAATTTCCTCTCTACTTACAATTTACATTTCAAAATATCATAAAGTCATTTGCTACGACCTACGACTTGTACGAGGTAACCTGTGACTGCAGCTTATGCGTCGTTCTGTTTGAAGATCACTGTGTCGACCCCGTTGATCGAGCTGCTCTACTTTTGTTCATGTAAGGAGATTTTTTCGTGCACAGGGATATTTTGTCAATAACTAAACAACCAAGCCGAAAACGCAGTCTTTTTATTTTTTACTTTTATCTTAGTCTAGCTTCAAGAATCATCCTTTAAATTTATTTGCACCTGTAGTCGAACATCCCGTATGTATGATACTATACAGTATATTAAGTACATATCCATAAAAAAGTTACATTGTATAATTGAATATGTAACGCATTATGTAATACCATGGAATATAAAGTAAAATGAGTTAGAATTAATTAAAAATTTTCTTTGTAATGATCGATATAAAAAGTATTACTTAAAGTTTTTATTCAGTTTGCGAGAAGTTAATTTATCGCATTCATGTTCTAGCAAGGTATTTAAATTACATTAGCTTAATCTATTTACAATTTACATATATGGTACGAGGCAGCATATTAAGTATTAGTATTAGTAATTACTAATTATAATTTATTTTAAATTACATTAAATTATTTTTTAATGTTTTTTTGAAAGAGAATTTTTTAAATATATCTTTTTAAAATACAAAATATGAGAAATAGAATGAAATTATATAAATTTCTACAACTTATTTCTTTTTATTTAAATTATGTTAAATATTGAAAAGTCTTTTCATGATGAGACGAACATCGCATGATTGATTTAGATTTAATTAAGAAAAAACTTTATTAAAAATTAATTATAAATATCACACTAAGCAAATTATCATTATTTGACTTTAATATAATAAATTAATTTCTTCTGGTGGGATTAATATTCCAATTAGTAAACTTATATCTTTTTAATCCATTCCTTCTTTAATCTATTTTTCTATAAAAACATCATACTTTTTTTGAAATTATGAATCCATTCAAAATTATTAAATCTCTGATCCATATACATATGTAAATCATCTTAAATCTTATTGTTAATGACTAGGATGCTCTAGATTCTTATTATTAATGTCTTTTATAATGTTTAAAAACTTTATTTTCTATCGGAGTATGCGCACAATTTACCCGAACACGGATTCCTCAAGTTGTGCATGTCCTCATGTCTTTCTAATGTTCTATGAATTCTAATATCTCTGAAACGGGATAAAATAAGTCTATTCTTATATATTATTGATTAGTATTTAGTAGAAACAGTTAGACTATAGACATTTGATAAAATGTCTCAAGACTACATTCACGCGTGCGAAAGGGCGGAATTGTTAGGATTGCCGATACCTAGTGAAGAAGAATGGAAAGAGACCCAAAGAATAGAAGCCGAGAAAATTAATAATGATAAAGATGAAGTGATCGAAGTAATTATAATTTTATCTTTTATTAAACAAAAATCAAATTAATGTACCTTTTTATGCATTATAAGTACAGTGTTAATGAGTTCTAATTTCTACTACTGTAAGTTTAATGCTAATAAGTTTCTTTTTAGCCTCTATGTTTCTCTTATTTGGAATGTAATTAATTAAAACAAAGTTCTTACATAAATTTCAAATTAATAATTTGTCAATATATTATCAGTTTAATATAATTTATAGAATCTGGATTCTTCTAATGAAGCTGCGCATCGAATAGGTGGTGGATTAGATGAATTAAATAGTATTCTCAGTGTTACGCAGAAGAAGATTAACAGATTCAAGGTTAAACACTTTTACCTAATATCATTATTTTATGACATTCATTTTTTATTTATTATTCTTTAATAAAAACAACTTTAATGATTATATCTAAACAATCATTGTCAAGTACAACAAGCATTTCTTAACGTCTTAGTTTAACAACTAGTTAGTTTAACATTTAGTTTTCTTAACAACTAGTTTATTATTATATAAACTATATTATATAAACTAACTTTATAACATGAAAGTATTTTACAGTCTGTTTGTGGCAGTTTGGGTACTCTATTGAAAGTAAGAGTTGGATCCAAAAACAACACACCAAATCATAAATTCGTTGAACGAAACCATAAAGAAACAAAAGAAATTGGTTCTGAAACATCTATGAGTGAAGAAAACTTGATAGTAGAATTATCCAATGACAAGAAACACATAGAAAACACAGAAACTAATGCAGTAATGCCAAAAACAATCAATCTCAATGAAAAGATGGGATCTCATTTGGATAAGTTAGACTCTCTCATCACTAAAGCAGAAAGTGCTCAGTACAGCATGCAGTATCAAACAAAACAGATGAAGAAATTCTTGAAGTAATTCTTCACATTCTTTTAAGCAAAAGTAGTATTCTATTCTAATATTATCAGGTCTCTTTGAAACTAACTCATTATTCATAGTGCCATGCTTGAAAAACCATACAAGTTCAAATCTGTATTGTGTTATGCATGGTAAAGATAGACATAGATAATAGACTGATAAATATACAAAGATCACTAAATTACTATAATATTTATCAAATATATGATAATATACAAATGAGTAATGGACATTTTACATTCTGAGAAAACAAATATTTATTTTGCTTGACTGCTTATTACACTTTAACAGCATATCAATGCGTTATATATATATATTTATTATACATATGTATATTTAATATATATTTAATATCATATGCATTATAATATATATTTAATATACATATGTCCATACATAAGCATTATTGCTTTTCTAAAATCTTAAGACACACTCAATAAAATGAAGTAATAACATTAAAGTGACTGGATAAAACTTGTTCTTCCTAATATTTTCATTAAATCATATTCATGTGATCTATTCTCATAATACAATGACAATTAAATTTTTTTTACAAACATGAAACACAAACACAAACAATTTATCAATATTCAAGCAGTTATAAGTTAAAATTGCTTCTTTCTATGAAAGAAATATTAAAACAATCAGTGTTAATATTAGCTATCAAATGGATAGTATATGTGTATATATTTTTCGTTAATAATTTTATTATAAATTGATATAATTATAATTGCAGTTATTGCATTGTAAACATAACTAATTATAGTATAGTATGCTTATTTAGCTAATTTTTAATTTTAGATATAATATTCTTCCTGTTTTTTCTAATTGTATGTTATAAATTATAATTTTTCATTAATTTATATTGCAAATCTCAATAAGTAAAGTGAATTTATTTCCTGCTGTATGTTGTACTTAAATTTATTCAAATTGTTAATATATTTATCTTAAAATATTTAAATTTTGTATAAAGATTGCTTTAGAAACAGCTCAGATTTTACAATATTGTGAGCTTATGTAGTTAAGATAATTATATACATTATATTATTTACTTATGTTACATCAAAGTGAACATATATCTAATATCAAAAATGTTATATCTTGTTGTTAATTGTCTTTAAAAATGCATAATATTTAATATCTATTTTGTTAACTGAATATATTTTAGGCAAAAATATTAATTTTAAGCAAAAGTGAACAATTCTTCTTAACATTAACAATAAAAGAATTCACAGGAAAATTAATAACCTTATAAAATGCAATTGTTACAAATAATTTATTATTGTTATAAAGATGTTGCAGTACCTGAGATCAGGTATTAGACAATATTTACGTGCCATGTACATACAATAATGTGAGTACATATTATATACGTACATAGTATGGGTTGTTAAAAAACGGTAAATTTTCTTTTCTATCTAGCTATTATTATAAAAGTAAAATTTTTATTATTACATTTATTTAGAAAATAAAATTTTCTAAATAGAGTTGATGTTTAATAGCATTTAACTGCATTGAAACAAAAGAATTATATTTTTACATCAAAGCGCGATGTCGATTAGTAGCAACTTACGAAATGCAAGAAATTAAGTGCGAGAAACAGATATGTTATATAGTAAATTTGTGAAAATGTATGTTTCATACGGTAATTTTTGTGTTCATAATTTTTATTTAAAATTTATTTGTATGAATAACAAAAAAAAAATAATGTAACAGATAGTCAGTTTTATTCTTGTAACATAACTGTATTTGAATGAATAAACTGATATCTAAAATGGTATGTGTTAATCCTTATCTATTTTGTATTAGAATAATTAAATAACTTTCTAGGAATACATGCATAATAAAAAGTCTGCATGCAATGAGCAATGTTCGTAGCTGAAAAATATGTAACTGTATAGACTTTAATCTCGTTTTTATGTCAGTAAAACTGCCTCACAGAGAAGTTCTGTTAATATCGACGTTCCTGCAGGTAATAGACATTAATTTTCATCTAACTATTGCGAAATAATTCCAAAAATAACAAAAAGGCTCATAAAGATAATAGTTTTTAAAATATTAAAATCATTCGATTAGTCGAAATACTGAAAATCAATTGATAACATCATATCAAATTATGCGAATGAGTTCAAAAAATGTACCTTAACGTTCACTTGAACTCAACGATCATTCAAACCAAAAAAAGTCATATAACCAAAAAATAGAAGAAGAAGTATTATATTTTATCATACATTTGCTGCTTATGATTGCAAAGTTTATCAAAATAATTACACTAATTTTAAAGTAAATAAATATCAATAAATATATAACAACTTCTTATTAAATATATATAATCTCCTCGCATTTGAAAGCGTGGTGAATTAAAATCAAGATTAGAAATTTAATTTTAAATATGTCATATACTGAGAGTTACATAAAAAACAAATTAATGAAAGAATTAAACGCTTCACACGTGGTATGTATTTTGTATGATTCATCATATTTGCGTATATATTCTTTATTTCGTTCTACTGTTTTCATTCTAACCTTAAATTTTCTATATAAACCTAGGTAGCTAAATGTTATTTCTGAAATATATTTGTTAATCAAGAGCATGCTTGCAAATATAAGCTGTTAAAGCTTATTCAACATATATGATGCAAGAAAACGCACAGATCTTGTTAATCTCACTATTTGCTCTCCTTTTGAGATGGTGTGTTACATATCATTCCTACAGCGGTGAAGGAAAGCCTCCAATGTTTGGAGACTATGAAGCCCAACGGCATTGGCAAGAAATAACGTTAAATGTGCCAATTGAGAAATGGTACATAAATACAACAAATAATGATTTACAGTATTGGGGATTAGACTATCCACCATTAACAGCTTATCATAGTTTAGTGCTGGGCTATGTTGCTAATATGATCAATTCTTCTTACATAAAGTTACACGAGTCTAGAGGTTTCTCATCTGAAAGTCATAAATATTTTATGAGACTCAGTGTTCTTTGTGTAGATATTTTGATTTATATCCCGTCGATAATATATTTTATATTAACTAATCAAGTATCTGAAAACTTTGAAAAAATAGAACTGTCTATATTTGGTCTGAAAAGAAAACATATTAATCTTCTGCTTATATTAATATATCCTGGTTTAATATTAATAGATCATGGACATTTTCAATATAATTCATTTTCATTAGGACTGTTCATTAGTGCTGTTACAGCTATACTTCAAAATTCGTTTATTATTGGGTCGATCTTATTTGTTGCAGCACTAAACTATAAGCAAATGGAACTTTACCACGCATTGCCAATTTTCTTTTACATACTTGGAAAATATTCACGTATGAAAGAACGGTTTTGGTTGTTCAATTTAGTAATGCTCTTCTGTATATCAATTACAGTACTTTCTACATTTTTTATTATATGGTTACCTTTTATTAAAAGTTGGGAAACATTTGTAAGTGTTGTTCTTCGATTATTTCCAGTTTCTAGAGGTGTATTCGAAGATAAAGTTGCTAATATTTGGTGCACAATCAATGTGATTTTTAAATTACGTAATACTTTTGCAAACAAGGAATTAGCAAAAATTTGTTTAATGTCAACTACATTTGCAGTTTCACCGAGTTGCATAAATCTATACTTAAATCCACAGAAAGAGAAGTTTATTATTTCCCTTATTAACTGTGCATTAGCATTTTTCCTGTTTTCGTTTCAAGTTCATGAAAAATCAATCCTACTTGTTGCAATTCCAGTTTTATTGTATTTTCAAAGCAATTCGTTTCCTTGTTTTTGGTTTTTAATAATTTCACACTTTAGTATGTTACCATTATTTATAAAAGATGGTTTGTACATGGTATATTGGGCTACATTAATCTTTTATTTCATTTTTGTTTTATGGGCATATTCTGATGTGTTTGATAACAGCGAATTATTGAGTAATATTAACTTAAAAAAGAATGTGCTTGTAACCAATCAAAGAAAAATTAAAGCAAAGCTAAAAAGCAATGAGAATAAATCATTATTTACCAAATTAAAAAGAGATATGATACATTATAAGAATATTTTTGTTGTTGTAAGTTCTACTGTATCTTTTTGGAAAATAATTCTGTTTTATTGTTCGATTCTAGGAATAATAATGCTTTCTCTTATTAGTGGTTTTTTGAAACCTCCAAAGAGGTATCCAGATCTTTTTGCATTATTAGTTTCTGCCTATTCCTGTGGACACTTTATTGCTTTCTACTTATACTTTAATTACAAACAATTTGTATGTGAAAAATATTAAAAATTGAAATAAATCAAAAAAACAATTTAATTTATGTTATATTATTACCATACTCCTTATTAAATTATTTTAATAAATTATTAAAAACTAATTATTTTTCTTTTTCAATATAATTCAACAATTTAAGATAATATTTCAGAAGAATATTGCGTTATGATCCACTATTCACGATTATCTAATATTTACGCCGATAAAAATATTGTTTATATGTATCATCACCTTTACTGAAGCATTATACAATACTTTACGGAAATTTGAACTTTACTCTATTATTGAATTCTACTTTCCTAAATTAGCATAACAATAATGTTATGAATACAAATTTAACCTTTTGTAGTCGGAAACTTTGTAACAATATACTTATATCGTTACAGGGAAAAGAGTTGATTGACTTTAGAATAATTAATAATAAGAAACACAAATTTATGTAATTTATGCGTTAACGGATAACAATAATATTTTTATAATACAAATCTAATTTTATTTTCTAAAAATTATTTGTATTGAAAGTAAATATTTACATATATTATTTAACATAAACATTTAACGTAAATTTTATGTTAGGAAGATCATAAAGTTCCCGTTAGTATTAGAAATATGTAGATTGTTTTGTTACTATACCTATTAAATAATGTTCATATTATTTTTAAATGTTGTTACAGGAAGTCATAGATGAATCTGATGGTTGTGGCGCTAAGTTTTCTGTAACAATTGTTTCTAGTGCATTTGAAGGCAAATCTTTAATTCATCGACATAGGTACTACATTTTAAAGTCCTAAAAAATTTAAATAATATGCTATTATTTAAGTACTATATTAAAATTAATATTTCAGGTCAGTACATTCAGTACTAGAAGAAGAACTTAAAACAATTCATGCATTCAAGCAAAAGACATTAACACCAGCAGAGTGGGAAAAGAAGGAAATGATAAAAAGGTATTTAATAATTGATTCAATTATGATTGCTTTTAATGTATCATCTCTAAAGTATATTATTCTATTTCCATTAATAGCTCCACGAATTAGACTTGGGAAATTTAAAATGATTCAGTTTAAAGTGTCTGCTCCTGGAAAAGTAATTCTTTTTGGAGAACATGCTGTAGTATATGGAAAAACAGCTGTTGCTGCCAGTGTAGATTTACGTACAGTTCTAAATTTCGCTGAATTACCTGAAACAGAACAAATTGTTAAGATATGTTTTCCTAAAGTAAATTTATTTATTAACGTACCTCTACAGCAAATACAAAATTTCTTTTTTATTAACAAAGACGTGGAACATGTAGAAAATTATGAAGCATTTTATAACAAAGTAAAAGAATTTGTCTCCATTATTAGTTATGCAAATCTGCAACAAAGATTAAGCCTGGAAGCATTCTTTTATCTTTTTATTTATATTACGCAAAAGGAAGAGATCGAAGTGAAACCATTTCAAGTTCACTTAAATACAGAATTGGGAATTGGTTCTGGACTTGGTAGTTCTAGTTCCTTTGCAGTTTGTCTTGCTGCGTGTTTTTTACATTGGTCACATTTACAAAAAGATATTTATAAAATATTAGATTTTTCTATCTTAGACACTATTTCAAAGTATGCTCTAAATTGTGAAAAAATTATGCATGGAAACCCCTCTGGAATAGACAATTCTGTCTGTACATATGGGTCAATAATAGAATTCAAGAAGGATGATTATGTAAAGCCAATAAGTAACGTACATGCTCTAAAAATTTTACTGGTAGACACAAGAGTAAATAGAAGCACAAAGGCTTTAGTTGAAAGACTATTAGAACTGAAACATAGATACCCAGTTATTATTGATCTGATTATGAGTTCTATAGACAATATATCCAAAGAAGTAATTAAAATTATTGAAAAACTGAAAACAGTTTCTACTGACGATCAATATTTTCTTGAAGGATACAGACAATTAATGGTAAGTATTTTATTAAAATATAATATATTGCTAATAATTATTATAATAATTACTAATTCAAGTAGGGTAAAATACTTCTAAAAGCAATTTATAGAAAATCTTGTATAATAAGAATAACTAGTAATATTTCATTCACAAAGTTAAAAGATTAGTCTGTTATTTGGAAAAATAACATTTGTCTGGTCAAGTGATTAACAATATGTTAAAATGTTATTGGTCATTAGTTTCTATATCTATAAATGTATTCAAATCTTATTACAACTTATCATATATTATTACAGATACTTATTAATATGAATCAAGGACTGCTAGCCACATGTCAAGTTTCTCATCCATCTTTAGACAGAATTTGTGCAGAAGCACAAAATTATGCTTTGGCAGCAAAGCTTACAGGTGCTGGCGGTGGTGGACATGCATACATTCTCTTATTACCAGATACACAACCAGAAACTATTGCAAGTATTTCACGAAAATTAATTGCAGATGGATTTACCGTTAAGTTAACAACTTTGGGAGGTCCTGGGGTACAAATTAATTAGTAATTTTGTTATAAATATTGCATACATTAATACAAATAAACTTATTTTTATTCTGAATATTCTCAATGTGATGTAAATTTTATTTATAATTATAAAGGGTACTTGTAATTTTTAAACAAAATGTAAATTATAGTTTTAGTACAGTTTAATACATGTTAATGGTTATCTCATTAATATCTTTTTTATTTCAACTATTTTCATTTTTTCCTTTTTCATTAATCATGATAGTATAATTGTCTTATTTCTATCATAATGTTAAAACTATTGATTGATATATAGAAAAATATTCTATTCAAGAAACTATAGATGACCTTAAAATCTTTGGAAAGCATCACTTTCAAAATGGACACATACAGATTACGGACAATAAGTCAACATCATTTAATTTTTTCTAATAAAATTCTTTTCTATCTTTTATAGCGTGTTTAACTTTATCGACCGATAGCCGATTAATCGGTTTTTTGTCGCCGACGTTTACCGACCTATAGCCTACCTATAGTTAATCGACTCCCATGGCGATAAACAATCTTTCTCATTATATGAACAGTAATTTGTTATTTAGTACTAAGGTACCTTGCTCACTTACGTCAGTTGCGATGCTTTGTAAGCTCCGACAGTTTTATACCAATTTGAAAAACTTACCGTTCGCGATGAACGAAAAGAATGGTATTGGAGAATTTTATTTAGATGATCTGTCAGATTGTCCTGACAGTTATTCAAGAAGTAATAGTGGTGACGAAAGTGGTGGCAGTGATATAATTATTCGGAAGCGAGGTTCTGTATTGCCACTAAGATATAGTGATTCAGAAGACGATGAGATACGTAACGTCGAAGATTATAACTATTTCTCATTTGAACTAAAAACTGTTGTAATAGATAAAATAAATATAATTTAGTACTAATATCATGAAAACAAAAGATTTTATTCAATTTAATTATCCTATAATAGCAGAAAGCAGCCAATTTTATCTGAGCATACGAAAAGCACAGATACTCCCGCCCGACAGTCTAAACCGAAACAGAGCCGGCGCCAAGGAGAATCTGCGCTTGGGCTGCCGATCGAACGTGCGCATGCTGTTGAACTGCTAGCGGTCAGTGAGGTGTTGATTAGGTGGAACATCCTGTATATCATACAGTACATTTTTATATATTTGTAATATAAAACTAAAAAATGATATATATATATTTATTAGTTATTTATTTACATAATTTATAACATAAAGAATAAAATTTTTCATATTTAACCGTTTGAATTCCAGGGGTCTTTGAAGAAACAGGATCAAAAAATCCCGAACAGCGCGATAGCGCTTGTTTTAATCGATTGCGAAGAAAAACAAACGGCGCTATTGAGAAGATAACAGTGAAATACAAAATACCGTCAGTCGTCCGTAGCGTTCAAATGTACTGGGACTTTTCGACACAAAATCTAAACAACGTGATCATGCTGCTTGGTACTCAAACGGTTAAAATAATATGAAAATTGAAGTTTAATGATGAAGAATTAAATAAAAATTACACAATTGCAAAGAGAAAGTAAAATAATTTCTAAATACAAGCATTTAGGATAGAATACATTAAAAATTTTATAAATCAATTCATAATTCTTTATGAAGAAAATTGTACTTTTATCTGCAGAAAAAGCAAAAAGTCAATTTTGATATTAATAAAGCTTTATTTACGCAAGATATATGATTTAGTGGATTTATATTTACGTTGCAATATTTTTAAAAATATCATCAATTATTTGAGTCTCTATATATCGCAACATAATCCGAAACGAAAATGTTTAATCTCTTTTATATCAGTTAAATATATTATTTTCTTTTTATTTTATGTTGTTAGTAAAAAATTTAATCGCTTAATTAAATTTAATTTAATTTGTATATTACAACCTTTCAATACTTCTATATTGTAAGTAGACACAATGAAATTTAATTTATTATTACAATTATACAACATTTGATGTATTACGATGTGTTTGTCGCAAATTGTCTGTTAATCCTACATGATCTGTTTCTGAAATTGCTTCCTCTCTATAATTTTCTTCTAAACTATGAGTAGCATTTGATAAAAATTGCCTTTCTGCTTGTTTAGCCTCTATAATCCATTCGGTAATTTCATTCGTATACATTTTTCTTTGCAAAACTTCTCTGGTTCTAGGACGCGAGCCAATAAAAACAGTAGTTCCCTGCAACATTATTATATGATTGCAGAATAATAAAAAACATATTTTTTGAAACTTAAAACTTACACCAACTATCAGTGAGGGTCGCAATTTTTCCAAAAGTTGAAAATCTTCTACTATATATTGCAATTCGTCCCATTTTAGTTCCACTTCTTCATGTAGCATCTTTTCCTCTGTAACGAAATGTATACAAAAGGACTAATAGAAGATTTAACAATCCCAAAAAAAGTACAAATTTGGTTAAAAATAACAAAAAAAGTTTATAGAAATAGTCTACATTTCTTCCATATTTTATGTTGAATAATTAAGGATATTAATTACCATCACGTTTAGATGTTGATTTTTTATAATGTATTCTAAATCGAAAGGCCTCTAAGAAACTGGATACCACGATAGTTAAAACAATCATTGTCACCAAATAAAATATCATAAAATATATTCGTGTATACATTCCAACAGTAAATGCATATGCGTTCATTAAAATAAACCAATTATTAACAACCGTTAACTCAAAAAGGGTCATTCCACTGGCTATAAGGTTGTCAAAAGTATTAAGGTAATAATATCCTAGTGCGGTACTTTCATTGGCAGAGTATTTGTAAAAGTCTTCAACTGTTGTATTTCTGACAAATACATATTATTTAGTAATCAATTTAAAAATATAATTTATTAAAAAAGATATTTTACCTATGTACTTACTTGCAACAATTTCGCATATTATATCCTGCAAACAATTCCATCCCAATGATTGCAAAAAAATAATATAAAACAAGCATGACTACTGCAGTGGAAGACATCAAGGGAGTTAAAATCACAAGTGTGCCAAATACGTCTCGGTATCTTTTTTTCATTTTAAACAATCTTAGCAATCGAAGTGGTCTAAATAAAACGAAAAATGTGGCTGTAGGAAAAAGAGATAAAATACAAGCTGCAACAAGTGTCATTATAGATGTTCCTAAATCGAAAAGATTCCATCCGGAACTCAGATATCGTCTTGTACCAAGTCCTAATACTTTTATTAGTGCTTCAGTGACAAATACTATAAAATAAAATTAGCATTAAAATAATTTTTCACACACCTTTTATAAATATTATGTTTACTTACTTCCTCCAAAAAGAAAAGTATCCCAAGATGCAGCAAATAGAATTGTGCTATGAACATTATCGCCTGCCTGTAATATCCTTATTATCATAGCAATACCATTTGCAATGATTGTTATATCTAAACATTTTATAATTGAGTATATGAATTATAAATTAGTATTATAAAAATTTGTCTTCCTTTTAAACTTACACATTAAGCTTTCAAAATATGACCATCTAATAGCTGCATGTGCTCCTGTGCATAGAATTTGCAAAGGTTGTGATGTACTGTGATACCAAGGCACAGTAGAGTATTGTAGTTCCCATTGAAGTATAATAGTATCATAAATGTTTAAAAACTCTTCAACACTTAGAACTCCACTTCCAGAAGCATTTAAATGTTGATACATTAGAACAATGTCTCTTATGTCTGTAGTGGAGTATATTATGGAATGAATTTAATTTGTCTTACCTTCTTGTTTTATAAATAAACTTTAATGTATATCTGGAGGAATTTTACGTACTTTTATTTGGAGCATAGTATCGCATTAATCCTTCAAATTGGCGAAATCGCATTTTATCCGGATTTTGTTTTGAAACTAATAACTTAAAGGCATGTTGACATGCTTTTCTTTTATGTAAAAACAGTTTTTTAAATTTATCACGCTCAGCTGCTGTAAATGTTTCGTTAACCACCGCCAACATCAAATTCATCATTACGTACAACATTGTAGACAAATAAGATACAAAATATATCGCATACCATTTGTTTCTTGAATATGATGGCATCATTACATCTGGAAAACTAAATATTGATATTGTTACTAATATCTAATCACAATAAAATGTATCCAAATTTTAAAATATTATTGGAAATTTAATTACAATTATACTTACTTAGCAGTAGTAAGAAGAACAAAGAGACTCACAAAACTGTCTTGTAGTGTACAAAAATTTCTATTCATTTCAGAAAACATATAGTAACCCAATACAGTGTACAGTGTTATAAAAAATAAAAGCAAGCCTAACATATCCAGAATTGGTGGCAATGTTAAAAGTATTTGTCTGATAAATCTTCTAACACCGCCAAAGCATTTCGTATCTACTAAAAAAATGGGCCTTAGAGCACGTGTTACACGGAAATGCGATGATTGTCGTACTAGTACTGTCATCGCTTCTAAAAACATGATGACCAATGTGATACACTGTAAAAATAATTTATATGTATAGTCTTCACTTGTATTAAAGAATTAATTAAAGATATCTTAAATATGTAACTACAAATTCACTACAAATTTGGTAATTTCATTTCTATTATTGCTGTTACTTCTTATTAAAAAAGCTTTTTATTATATGTACTAATTATCATATTAAAAGAAACAAGACATTATTTTCTTAATTTTTCTAATTTATCTTTGCTAAATTTCAAGTTGTTTTAGCAATTTTATTTTAAATCATTCTGTACTTTATAATTTTATTTTTCTTACTAGGTTCTTATTAATGATTCATTTTAATTATTCTGATCTATCCATTCCATATCAAGCAAACGTTTCATAACTGTTTATTGCTTTTAAACCATTGTGTAATAAATATGAATATGAATGAGTATAATACAATAATAATAATAATAATAATAATAATAATAATAATAATAATAATAATAATAGTAACAAAAACAACAACAACAACAATAGTAATAATGATAATGATGATAATGATGATAACAAGAATAATAATAATGAGTCAGTAGCAGTAAAATCACTAATATACTATACATATATTAGTTAAATCTGAATGTGTTCCCTATAAGATATCCCAATAAAGGTATTAGTATACATAATATATTATAAATGAACAAATAATGCAATTATCAGCGTCTCGTTTTAATAAAAATGTAATCTTAAATAGTCTGCACTTGTGGTGTTTCTTATCTTCTCATTAGTACCCTCATGCTTTTTGTATCAGTCTTGTGCAAAACAACCATTTTATTGTACACTGTTCTTAAACATATTGACAAAGTAATGAAGGAAAACTGTACTTCAATCTCATAATGGTATTCAATTTACTAATAATTATCAGATGTAAACATAAGCAATTAGAATATACATGTCATATACAGGGTGGTTGGTAACTGGTGGTATAAGCGAAAGGGGGTGATTCTACGCGAAAAAAGAAGTCGAAAATATAGAATAAAAATTTTTTTTCTTTTTTTTTTAAATTTTTCCATCTAGACAACGATCTACAGTGAGATCCGTTATAACGTACCGTACGCGTACCGAGCGAAAATTCAAAGTCGATTTTCTCGAAAACAAAGCCTCAAACGAAAAATTTTTATTCTATATTTTCGACTTCTTTTTTCGCGTAGAATCACCCCATTTCGCTTGTACCACCAGTTACCAACCACCCTGTATATCAGTAAACTCGTGTGGATTTATATGAAGTTTAATAAAATTATACTACAAACTATTAAATCTGATTCTAGAAAAGAGTTCTTTTTACCTTCAGCATTGTTCGTTTGTGTTTTAACATTGTTGACCAGCCAATCCATCTTAATTTCAAAGCTAATTCTATACCTATAATTATCAAAGCAAAAAGTTCTATAGATCCATGTGCCCACACTGGTATCTGAAATTAAAATATATAAATAACCATTGTAATAAAATAAAAGTACTTTCTTATCAATGACTTACGCTAAACAGTGATACAGCTGGCTCTTCTACAAGAGCTAAAGCCAAAAGTATAAGAGAAGTTAATAGATCTAACCCATAATACCAATTATTATGAACTAAGAGATATGCTGGCAAATCTTCTGGATGCTTTGGGTGCGAATCAAACTTTTCATTATTTTTACCTTCCTATGGATACGTAACATTATTGTAAGTAAATTTGAAAGCAATTATTCATATGGGTATATATACATATAAATGTATAAATACCTCTAAAAATATTGCAGCCTCATGGTAATTCATTTCCCAATGCAAATCATGATCTGTGATTGAATCATGTGATGGAAGTACTGCATTTTCAGACATGTTTTCTCTATGTACATCATCTGTTTCAAATTTGTGAATGATTTGATCAGATGTTCTTACATTTTCAGTGGAGGAGTTTACATGATTTTCTGCAGAAGGATATGATAGTATAGATCCATATTCTACAATAAGAAATAAGCATAAAAAATAAATATTTCTATAATGCAGAAGTAAATGATACTTTTCAGCAATAAAATAAATAATATAAAATAAATAAATTCTTTTTATTTTTATCATGAAGATAATCAAACATTATACTTATAATTAACTAAATTATGTATTATATATTTTTTGCAAAATTTTATATCATTGCTCTATTATAGATAATTATGCCAGAAAAATGTGTAAAATGAAATGTGAGCTTTAGTTTGTTAAATATTATAAGCTAAAAGAGTAAAAGTGAAAATGACAAAAGTAACATAGTTGTGAAAAAGCAGAAATTTCATTGCAAAGAATAAATAAAAAATGAAATGAATTAAAATAGTACAATTAAAATTCATTCGACTTACTTTGGCATGTTCGATGTGAAATGTCTTGCTCGAGTGATATGTTTGCATCATCGTTAAACCGTTGATAATTGCCCGAATATTCAGTGGTTTTGGGAGAAGACATTTGAGAATACGTGACATGTCACATGCATATAGCCATTTGTTGTGTGAGCACGAATTTACACCGCTATATCTAACACAATGATGTCACTACTCAGATGCTGAGCACTAACTGGATTAGTCTGAAAACTATGTATAGAGATATACGTATATTTTTGTTTGAAACATATTTTAGATATTACAATATCATAACACAACGATATTATTCGATCTTCTTGTATTTGACGTTCCAGTTCATGACGCGCATGCGCATTCCAAAAACCGAACCTGAGTGGATACTATTATTTTGACTGATAAAACTATAAAACTTAACTATTCACTTATGTAATAAAGACTTCACTTTTCGTTTTTCATATATTTTACGAACACAAACTTGATGCATATAAGACATATTTAATTACTAGAAAATAAATATAATCTGCAATAGAAGATAAAATAAATTTAAAATTTCTAAATTTTATTGTACCTTCTATTACATTATAAATTTTCTTATTTCATTCATCATTATAAATAAAGCTTTCAAATAAAATAAAAAAGAATCCGGAACAATTGTGAACATTTATAATCAAGGTCATAAAAAATCTACCTCATGTTTCTGTATTAATTATATATTTGTATTCAAATCACAAAAGATTAGAATTTTAATCTGTGTGGATATTGGCTGCTTCTGAGTCCAAACATCGCTGATAAGTAGGTGAATAGCATCTTCTTCTCTTTGTTTCTCTTGATAGCAGAAATCACAAATTTGTCAACCACTTTCTGATCAGCTTTCCTCTGATCGCTTGCTTTGTACTCGTCCTTCTTTTTGCTGAAGATATCACCTTCTTCCTTCTTCGCGCGTTTCTCGCGTTTTCTCTTGAAATAATCGTCGTTAACATGAGCCGGAATCTTCAAACCAGAAATGTTAATACGCGTGGAAGTCGCGATCACATAATTTTGACTAACTCTACGGAGTGGGCAAGCGTTGATCAAGAAAGGACCTATTTTAAAAAACATTTTGATATTTTAATTTATCATATTAATATTTTACTATATAATAACTTCAAATAAATCTCACCTGTAATTAAGAGTAAACCACTCTTAAGTTGCTTTAAGAAAACAACACGTTTTCCTTTATGAGCACCAGCTAATAGGATACAAATTGTTCCTGGTTTTAAGGAAGGTCTGAGATAACGACGATGGTCACGGAAACATTTCTTAGCATGGTGTACAGTTACTGGATCTGCAGTAGGGTAGTTTGCACGCCTCTTCTTTAATAATACAATACGTTTCTCTCCATTTTTGTCACCACTAATCTTCTTTTCAATAGTGACTGGTTTCTTAGGCTTAACCTATAATTACCATTAAATATTTAGAATTAAACATTTATCAAAAAGTATAAACATTATATGAAAATATATTACTCTTCTTGATTACATAGTTCTTTGTACCATTTCAAAACATTTAAGAAAATCGAAATTATATATATTATAATTATATAGTCATTATTTTATAACAATATTCAATTACAATAAAGAGATTGAATAATAAATATATCTTTATTGTATATTTACTTAAAAGGTAAAAAGCATAAGGAACTTCAAATATTTCTACATATCCTAAAAAATGAAGAACTTCTAGATAAAACTTTTAAATTAACAAAAGTAATATTAACAAAAATAAATAGAACATGTGACATCATTAGACATACAGTTTTTGGAGTCTTGGAGTCAATGAATTTGTAGATGGCTTTCTTGTGATACATACGGGTTCGGCTAAATCTATAAACACCATTTCCTAAATTGTAATTTCGAGGCCTAATACGACCTTTCTTTGCACCTTTTTTAATCTCCACAGGAGCACTTTTGTTCTCCGGAGACTTCGCCTTTGATTCTTTTTTTTCCTTTGTGTTGGTCATCTAGAACATAAATATAAATTCATTGTAATACAACTATTTATGGATAGCATAATAATCATGCACTTATATTTTGTCCGAATATTCATTCTAAACAATAAATTAATGCTAGAATAGTCGACAAAATTGTATATAAAGTTTCAATAGAGTTTTATTTTAATATATTTCTATTATCGTAATCTTTTATTAAACATGTCCATCATGTTTTGCAGAGGTTATGTCACGTTTTCGTAAATCTTAAATTTCAAACAAAAAATAGCCGATAATTGGGCTAAACTCTTTATAAAATATTATTAAGATTTTAAAATTAGGGAAATGAATGTAATTTCTTGTTATAAGCCAACAAAATGTTATATTCTAACCTTTCCAAGTTAAAATTAATCAAATTTAAAAATATATTTACAGAAAATATGGTATTTTTTTTAAAGAAGAAGCCTAAAATGTATAAAATTTGATAAAATATATAGTTTTTCTCTTATTACAACAAAAGATTACTTGGATAATATTAGTTGTGTTGATCTAATTCCATCTTACCGTAAATCGTACGACTAAAAGAACCTACACCAACATATATTCTATCTTCTTCTGCAGTTATGTTGTGTCTTTGTCTGAAACATTCATGGTTTTAGATAGTATTTAACATATGCATGTGTCACGCATGCGTAAACCGTCCTTTTTGGTACCTTTTTGGCCCTCCATGTTGATTTTTTAGGATTCACTCGGCGAATGCTTTCCCCTAGTGAGTGACATATTCCAAACCACGGTCATATAAACGTATATATGATCATGTTACTACATAGACAAATAAATAGATCCACAGTTGCAAAAAGGTTGTAGAGAACATCCTATGTTATAATCGTTGACTTTTCACAACTAATCTCGACTACGATCATATAAACAGGTTTCGACACTTACATACCGATGCCTAGGGAAAATCATCCGAAAATTGAATCGTGACTAGTTGTGAAAGATAAACATGGAGGGCAAGAAGGTTTTCATTCTGCGCCTGCATGACATGCCATGAATGACTCAAATAGAGACAGAGATACTCTATTTATCTCTGTCTGTCTCGCAAGAATGCGAATTTTGTCGTCTTCCATGTTGGTTTTTTACAACTAGTCATAATTCAATTTTTGGTCGGTTTTCCCTAACGACTGTCGAGATCTGAGATCTCTTCATATGATCGTGGCCGAAACTTGTTTATATGATTTTATATGATCATGAGCTTCAGTCTATGAGTGTCGAGAGGTCGAGATCTTTTTACGGATATGATCGTGTCCTGTATATCACTAGATTCTGATATCATCGATGATCTTATATATACATTTTTTATATTAATATTGCTTGGGAAAGAAGGTAGCCATATACATTAAATAATTTTCTAAATGTTTCCTAAATGTAATAGCATTTCCTCGATAAATTTTTTAATTGGCAGAAAATAGACTAAATGTGGAAAAAGATAGATTTCTTCGTAACCAACTAAAATGTGATAAGGAACTTCTTAGAAAGTACTTTAGATGGCAGAATTTGTGCTTTCATTGAAATGACGTTTCTGTGGACACGTTGTCACACGAATCTCCACACAGTCCGCTTATGCGCATGCGTTCCAGAAAGCTAAGGAGATTTTCGATTCGCGCGGAAGTAGTGTGATTGTTTTGGAGAAAATTGAAGGGAGCTGAGTGTAAAGTGGCATAAAATAATGTCAGGAAAATCGAAAGCATTTACCAAAGAAGAAGAGCTTCTTCTTCAAGATTTCTCGCGGAATGTGTCAACAAAATCTTCAGCGTTATTTTACGGCAATGCTTTTATCGTTTCGGCTATCCCCATCTGTGAGTACACATTCTCAAACTGTCTAGAAATATGATTTATACCGCTACTTTGTTAATATTTATAAATTTTATAATAAATTTTAGTATACGTTTGTATTATGGTTTTGTAAGGAAATAAGTAGTTGCATGGAAACTATAGCGTTTCTGAAGATAACCTCTATCTTTTTGTTACAGGGCTTTTTTGGAGAATTCACTTGATTGACATCTACGCTAATTTAATTTCCTTCGTTTTAGTAACATTAGCGAGCACATATGCTCTTGCTCTCGCGTATAAAAATACAAAATTCGTGTTAAAGCATAAGGTATATATAGAATCACAACAGAATGTTTTATTAGCACAATGTTATGGGATTTACTGAAAAAGACTTTATATTTTTTAATAGATCGCAGTAAAAAGGGAAGATGCAGTGACAAAGGAAATGAGCAGAAAGTTATCAGAAGACAAGAAGATGAGCAAGAAGGAAAAGGATGAAAGGTAAAAAGATTATTATTTGCAGATTATTAAGTACAAAGTATATTAAACATATATATATATATATATATATATATATATATATATATATATATAACTGAAATACATGTAAAATAATCAAATTTTCAGAATTTTATGGAAGAAAAATGAAGTAGCTGATTATGAAGCAACAACATTCTCAATTTTCTACAATAATGCTTTATTCTTAGCTCTTGTAATTGTATCTTCTTTCTACATTCTGAAGACATTCACACCAGCTGTAAATTATGTATTTTCCGTCGGTGCAACGAGCGCATTGTTAGCGCTATTGTCGACTGGAACTCAATAAAATGTATGCTGTGTAGAATGCATGATAATAATCATTTAAGTTACCAAGATACCTGTGTGAAACTCTGTAATTATTTTCATGAGCGAATGGATACATGTAATAAAAATGTTTTTATTTATGATAATTTCATTAATCTGCCATACTAAATTCATTTCTAAACGAAATTATTATTAAAAAATATTTTCATGCCTTCGTAACTTAGATTGCAATTTTAATTGTGTTGTAATAACATCAGAATTATGTGTACTTTATATTTAATTACATAAAAAATAATTGATCATGTTGGTTCCACATCATTTGTCCGATTACAACGTTTGTCAAGCTGACTAGAAAACAGGGCTGAGGAAATCAATGGACCGTATGCTTATCTTTCAGAGAATTTCATAATCCTTCTTTTCAGTATTGTTAACAATATTTGTGATACGATAGTAGTTTGAATTATGGCTTACCGACATTTGCAAGAGACTAAATATTTTCATATGAATTAAACCGGTTCTATTGCAGTTGACGAATTATAACGGATCGCAGATTGTAATCCATTATACGCAGTCCAACATTGGCCATTCTAATGCTTTATTTGCTTGTTTAACTTGGACTTGCGCCAGCGTATAACCCGTCGAAAGAAAATCTCTCGCCAAATTGTATATTCTATTCCTGTGCAGAAGTGAAAATGTAAACATTCACTTATACTATACCGTGTTATTATCACTTGCATTTTGTTGCATAAGAGTCGCTGCACTTCGATATACACATAAACATATGTAATTGGAAATTTAAATTAATCGTTTGCTATGAGAAATTGTACTATGATGTACAGTTTGTATCTCATTGTCAGGGATAAAAGATTTATTGATTTATGTTTATTAGGACTTCTACTACGTCTTTAAACGCTTGCATATTGTGGAATAAACTTGTGCGTTTCGAAGGTTTTTACAACGTGAGAAACGCATATTGGCACAATCGAGATTGTGCATTTGGCAAAGATATATCAGTTTCCTTGTTTGATTTATATCATCACGTGATATTCACGTAATTTAAGCAATTTTCTTCGGATAAATTGAGATTCGATTATTACGCAGGAAATAACAAAAATTGTACCTAGATATTCGATGGTTGCTTGGATGGTGGCGATCGCCGATGATTAGTAATTTACAGCTTTTACTATGCAACGTGTTACTTAGCTGTGTGCATTTTGGATCTTTGCCAAATGTTGAACCACCTTTTCCAGACAATCCGCCGATTCTTCCGAATGATTCGGGTTACCTAACTCATTTTATTATCCGGCACTTTTTTATCAATAACTATTTCGTTACGTGTTTTACTATTGTGATTGATCTGCAGTTGACAAAATCTCGAAGAAATGAACAGTTTCAGGTTTCTGTGTACAATGAGATTTTTGTTGTTCGTTCGATCTCAGGTTCACGCTGCATTTCAACGTCAAACAGTCGAGTTAGCTAATGTTACACAATTTATGAGTTGTTAGAACTCCCCTTGTCATCAAAACAATTACATCATGCACCAAGAAAGCGGACCGTTTTATTTGAATACGTACGATCGAAATTTGGAACTTGTGCAATGAATAGAGAAATTTAATAGTTCACTAATTGTATATGAAATTGATTTGAGCATAGAAAGCTCGTAAGCATTCTGAGCAATAGCATTCTGAAATTTGGGCAATTCTTCTAATTAATTTAAGTCGTGTAAACATATCGCGGATAACATCGTACTCTAGACATTAAACAATGATATTTCTTTTGTTTTCTCGTTGCAGAGTGAAGGTCTTGTCTTAATTCCAAACTATAAGTTTCATCGATTTCACTACTGTATGCCTTTGTCGTTTTACTGTCGTTTACGCTGACCGCAGAATTTTCATTCTCTATTTTTGTTCTGGTACAGCAATATCGTTTTCCTCTTCTCAAAAAGACGTACACGCGACACATAGTCGTTTCAATGAACAAGAATCAAGTGAATACGTTGTTCCAGCGCGCGTCTAAAATTAAAAAGGAATTCATTCCGTCACAATTTCTTCGCTACAACCTCCTCTGCTACATAATTTCAATCCTGAATTATTTATGATGTTGCACGATACTTTCCTCGTAAAAAAAACTCCTGCTCACCTTTATAATCCGTTTACAATGATTATATCTAGAGGCAATGAGATTTGTATTCTGCTTTCCTTTGAAATTGTTTATATTATATTGAAAAGCAGAATTCGAGTATTTTAACACCCCGTTAATTTAAAGAATACTACAAAGTTCAAAATAATGGAGCTTTAAAGCTTTATATAGTTATAGAAGTTTACCTAAACATAAATCAAACTTAAAATTAAAAAGAAATATATATATGTGTATGCATGTCATTATGTACGTGTACAGATAATTTATATGATGAAGTCCAGAATATAGATACAACTAATAAGAATCCATCTGATTTTAGAGATACCGCGGGAGGAAAGAATAAACGAAGGGGGTCAGAGTCTGGAGTATCGAGGAACGAAAAGACGGCCCTGATTTCGAGCCTCGCGGCATCATCTGCGTCTGCATCCCAGAAATAGCGCAAGCGCCTTTCCAAAAGCTTTAAGGCCCGTGAAGAAGCGGATAGAAGAAGCTGACGATTGGCTGGAGGTTGCGGGGTGCGGTCCGGCATCGCCACGCAACCGCTATATCCTCCTTTTCGAATATTACCGCGACGATGGCCGTTTCTCGTGACAGTGTTCGACAGACAGCAACCATACCACCTACGTTCTAACGACGTAGAGAACGTAGAGAATCGCCACGATTTTCTATTTTTCTCGTCGCGAATAATCAATTTATCATTCGCATTCTCCACGACGGTTTTTTTCGTCGTGTTCGATTGTCGTAGCCGCAGTGTTTCTTAAGTTCTTTCTTTATGAGTAAATTCGTTTGTTAATTTCAACAAGCAAAAAGAAAGTAAAACGTTCAAAGTAAAAAACAAAAAGTAAAAAAAGTAAAAAGAGAATCGCGCCACCATGGTATGTTCTATTGATGATATCGTAAGTCGTCGCCCTGGTAAACATACACGTTTTCCTATTGTATATTCTCTCTATTTATTTATTGTATTTTTTTCTCTTTTTCTGGTCTAATTCATCACTGTGCCTCGCCTTATCTCTATGGTTTCTCTTCACTCTTCATTCTTCACTTTTCGCTCTTGTCTCGTGTTCGTCGGACGAATTGAAATTTCGAATATTCTATCAAATTGGAAGATATACTGCTCGGAGTAATTCAAGAATCAATTCGAACAGGATGTTTCTCTTTTCAACTTATTTGCCATGGAATCTGTAAGAACGAATGTTCTAATTATTTCGAGTAGTGTATTCAACAAATTTGAATGTGTTCGCTTCAATTACACGTGTTAAATGTATCAGACACGATGCAACAGGTGTAAATTGATAAGAACGACTACTTCGAAACATTGATTCCTCCGCTTCTGCCGCGGTATGCTTGCAATCTGCATCCACTGTTCTCTCTGTTCTCTTTATTTCTCTTTTTTTCATTGTAATATCTCTTCTGGCCTGATCTGACTTTTGTTTTAGAATTTTTTAATTTTTACTTGTCTAAACAATAACAGTGGTTATGACCTAACAGCGACCGAAATTGGAGATTATCGGTCCAGAGATGCGAGGTTTTGGAAACGTGATTGTTTCTTACACGGCGAATTTCCTCGGGCCGTCCCTCCTCATGTTGATTTATTAATTAATTTATAACCAAAATAAATAACCATTTGTTAATTAAATTAGAATTGGATTAAATAATAATGTGCGTCTTAATATTTATCATTATGTTCAAAAATAATGTATTACGAATGTAAGAAAAATTGTTGAGTGAAATGTGAAATCGACAAGAAGAAGGAATATAGCCCGATGTCTCACTATACACGATCGTTTCTACTTTGTTCAGTTCCAAGCGTCGCAAAACTCGGGACAACTTTTTCAACTTGCACTCTATTGCAACCATTAGTATTAATCGAGTAACAATGGATAATAATAATACAAAAGAAATAATATTCAATTACATTAAGAGAAGACAGAAATAATGCACGAACTTTCTAAAAGGGAAGAATCGCTAAGTTAACCATGCACGTCCACTTGGAAATCTCTTCGAATTAATTCTAATAGAGTAAAGGAACGATGTTTAAACTGATCAAGATCGATTTACGATTGATTGAAACTTTCCTTTTTCCGCTCGATCTGTGATACGGCTGTCAAATTTCATTTTTCTCTGTTCGCAGGCCGACGAACTTCCCCCTGAACAAATTGCGGGTAGGTACATCAACCAGTTATTAGATATTAATATCCTAATGTTCAACATTCTATAACCACGAATTAACAGCAAATAACGTCTTTAATCCACGAGATCAGTGACAATTCAATTTTTAATTATGAAAATAAATTCGTGATCTAAAGAACGCTTCGCAACATCGATACCCTAGTCTAGGTTTTTCAAATCGAATAAGGAGTTTAAAGGAAAATGGCGCAAGTGATTATGTCTTTAACTTGAGAAAGTTGCGGTTAAAGATAATCTTAAAAAGCATATCTGTATGTTTGTTTCTAAGCTTAACTTTATATGTAACTTACTATAAAGTAAAAACTTTTGTGTTATTTTTCTTAAATAAAAACAAATCTTTTATTTATCTAAGGAAGATTTCTGTTATTAAATCAACACAAAAATTCATTGAAAATTCAGAAATAAAAACCCGAAAACGGAGTCTTTGACAAGTGTCACGATACAACTGAGCGCACCATTCTTGGCTTTCCGGTATTTCGCGTCGAAATCGTATCATGTTTACTGAACACCGTGTGCTAAATTTAGCAAAGGTTTACTGTTTCTTCTTTATGTTTCCCTTTCGGCTGCTTAATCCTTCACGTCAACGAGAAGGGAGCTTGTTTAACCTATCCAGGTTATTTCTATCCATTTCGCTGTGGGGGTTAATCATTCCGGAGCATACCGTCGCTATATGGGTAACCCAAGATGTATCTGTAGGTACAACCTGTTCATAGTTTTATATCGGAAACTACGTTTCGAACAAGAAAAGAACGATCTCTGTTCAAATGCCAATCTGAGAACAAAGAAACTCTGTTCGGAAACCGTATGATTTCGACATACGTCAAGGCGACGTGGTAGAAATGGGGGAAAATATAGCACTCGTGTACAAGAGGGGAACTTCCCAAAGATTTGGAAGACTTCCATGGATCCAATTTTCATTGTAGTTTTCTGTTATATCAAGATTCGATATAATCTGATTAGAGAATTTGTTTAAAATTTTTAAGAGGAAAGATAAAAACGAAGCGACGAATAAACGGCTCAGACAAGTTATTTGGACGGCACGTTCCTAGAGTTTATTTGTGCTTCAATTCAATCGGGGGCAGCCGGTATAGGCTGCCTATGTATAGCTACAGAACCGCCTTACTCGCCTTAGTGTGATGAGGAGGTATCGTGTGACGATTCGATCGGAGAGAATCGGATCGGTAAAAATAGAGGAAAGATTCTCCAATAGAATCGAAAAATAGAAACTCGTACGTTTCGCTGTCTCTAAAAAACGAAACATCCGGGCTATAATTGCTAGACGAAGGTATCTGTCTTCTATTAAATATGTATGGCATTCGTCAGATTTTTCAAGCTAATATCGAACGGAAAACTATTACATTATTAATCTATAATGAAACCATTCAAAGCAATTCTTTAGTTAGTTTTTATTTCATTATTATCCATACAAACATTATATTTTATATAATTTAGAAGAAAAGCTCATAGAAAAAAAGATGAATACTTTTGGCTGCCTCACGAAATTGCTTTTCTTTTACATAAGGATATTAAATGAAATGGATATTTTTTAAAAAGAGAGATTATTAGAAGATCAGTAAAAAATAAACAATTGCATAAATTAGTTCAAAATTTCTACACACTGTCAGTCAACAACGATAAATAAACATTTTAACCAGCGTGAACGATGATGCATCAAGCTAAATAAGCTTTGAGCCAGAATCGTGAGCGAAAGGGCATTAACATCGGTTTCTAAATTTGTAACCGTACGATAGACAAATTTTGACGCGGTGGAACACCACTTACGAGTAGTCAGATTTTTCCCCTAAAACATACATATTATCTTCAACCTGATGTTTCACGTTCCACTAAAAAAATATTTAAATTTATAATTTTTGCAGTCCTTCGCAAAGCGTTCGACAGCTTTGATAGGGAGAAGAGTGGTAGCATTCCTACCGATATGGTGGCCGATATCCTCAGATTAATGGGTCAACCCTTTAACAAAAAGATTTTGGACGAACTAATCGAAGAAGTTGATGCAGACAGTACGTAGTATAAATCCGATGTTTATCTCTGCCAGATACTCGTGTGATATTCGCAGTTTGCCCTATTTTATTGACTATAGGAGCTTGTTTAAAATTTTGTCATTTTATGTATTAATTTAATTTAACAATAAGTTAAACTAACGCAGATTTCTGAATGGAATTTTGTTTTTGATTGATAGAATCCGGTCGTCTGGAGTTTGAAGAATTCGTCACGTTAGCCGCAAAATTCATTGTTGAAGAGGATGCGGAAGCCCTGGAAAAAGAACTTCGAGAGGCTTTCAGGCTCTACGACAAAGAAGGTAACTAAATATATGTTTTACTCAGTAACACTATTCTATGGCGTCTTCCTTTTCATTATCTCCTATTTTATTGGATAGCTAACATAGATATAAGCAATTTGTTTTTTTCTTGTAAGAATGAAAGGGACGCAAAAAGAAGTCCGAAAACATGTTTGTCTCGTGAGTGTTTTTGTATTGTGAAAGATGTTTGTCTGACTGAGCCAAGGAAGATTCCTTTCAAACCCACAATTTCACTGTTGTTGATAATTGTAGTATCTACTTTTTACTCTATATAATCTACCGATACTCTTGCATCTCAGTTTCTTCATCCTCGCCAATTTTTTATACGTATTTTTCCTGCGTCTTAAATTAAAACACCATATTAACACCAAACAATAAATGCCGTAAATCCATTACTATAATCATTCGGGATCTCAGATAAATTAGATATTGAAATGAATGGAAATGGTAGAGGAAAAATGGCGTGAAAGAAGAAAGAAAGATATATTGACCGACCGAGAATAACCGATTCTGCGAAACCTGCACTACGTAAAAACATTGCCGTTCTCCGTTTCGTATCAGGGAAATGAAAGCCGACCGAATTTGAAAAGGCTTACGCCTGTGGGAACACGGCCAAGAATTGAGCTCGTTTCATCACCCAAGTCTCCATGAATTATGATCCAAAGCCAAAGACTTTCAGAGGTGTATTAATGTGATGAATTATATTTTTCAATCTATAGGTTGAAAAGCAACGGTCGATGTTCAAGGAAACTACTCGCTTAGAACTTTTAAATTAAAAGATTTCTTTTGTTATAGGAAATGGTTACATACCCACTACGTGCTTGCGTGAGATCCTCAGGGAACTGGATGACCAATTGACAGATGAAGAACTGGATATCATGATCGAGGAGATCGATTCTGATGGATCTGGCACCGTTGACTTTGATGGTAAGGAAAAATAGAACAACTGTTAGTTAATTATCGTGGACTGGAGATTTAAGCGTGGACTGTTTTCTTGACAATTGGACTTATTTTATTTTATAGGTTGTGTAGTTATTGTTTTGGGAGTACTCTTAAATTCATATTAATCGTATCCAACATTTTGATAAATGTTTTCAAAGTATAATTAGTAAGAGAATAAATAGTATGTGATATCATTTGTTATCACGCTGGAGAGCCCGCACGTGCTGTCTGCTGAGTACATTGGGGTATATTTATACATGAGCGGCGAATCAGGACCATCGACCTCTCTTACTTCATTATTTATTTTATTACTTACTTACTAGTTCAAGAGATTAGCGTAATCTTTTATAGCTCTAAATCTTCAAATCTGTTAGAATCTTTTCCGTTACAATAATCCATTTCTTCTTACAATGAACTTCTTTTACTTTTCATCTACTCTAAAGATTTACTATGAAGATGTACAGAATATTTAATATTTAGAATATCCGTGTTTACAAAATAGTGAGATATTCTAAGCTTTTACACAAAATCTTTCAACTTTCTAACGATTGCGTATTACACAAACTACACCCATTCCAACCCAATTCCAACATTGATACAGAAATCTTGGCATCTTTCTCCATTTCCTAGAACGACGAACATACTTCATCGTTTATCAACAATAATTTATTTCAATGTAACATTGCCAATAGTTACAAAGTATACGAATCAATAAATAAGTTTCAAATGTGTTTACAAATTCGAGGAAAAATGTAACTGCTTCCTTTGTTTTGGATAGATGTGTCTTTGATAGATTTAAAACTGCTAACTGTTAATATTTCTCTGACATGTCATATTTCACATGTTACTACATATATGTACATATTCTCTAAGTCTATAAAGTGATTTAGATGGCACATATATACACATACTAAGTTTCTTCATCATACGTATCTTTCACGGGCGTTATCATTTTCGCTTCATTTACGTACTTTGTTCGATAACATTAGATAGAATATTTTTAATTTTTTAAGTATATTAAGTATATTTTTAAGTATACAAAATAACGAAATATTTGTTTAATTAAAATATTTAAAAATATGTAAGTAAAATATTTTGTTTCAGAGTTCATGGAAATGATGACCGGAGAATAAATATCCTGGCATGTCAATGTTTCGACTCAAAGACAATACAAGTGCGGCAGTCGCGATCAACTCTCAAACTAATTATCTGCGTGTCTTCTAAAACCCAAAAAAGTTATAATGCAAACGAGAACGGTGCCTAAAAGCGTGCAATGGTTATGTCTCCTAACGTTACGATGCGTGTTCTTCTATCATAGCTCTTCGTATCTCGGAACGATTTGAAATGTTTTCAGTGTCACGAAAATGGCCTCGTTTGCAGATTTCTCTTCTATTTTAACGAGTGCCGCAGTACGGGTCCCAATACATTTGCATCACGCCTACTAAGTTTTTCATCGACAGTATTTATTTGTTGTTAATAAAACTCTATTGAAAAGATATTAAAATTTATTTTTCTTAATGAAAGATGTTCGAACAATAATTTAGTTACAAATCTACATATTGCATAATATTGTTCAGGAGGAAAAACGAAACCAAATCATTAATCGCCTAGACTTTTTATTTCTTTAACATTTGATTCATAATCACAATAATTTGAGATTTCTTTGTAATTGACATCTTAATAGTCATAACTTTAATAAACATAACGCAGTATAATACTTTTAAAAAAATAGAGTAGCTAACAATAGACTAGAAAGTTCGATAACTATAAATGGTGGCACTAATAAACTATGAAATTTTATTCCGACCAGCTTGTTCTAGAAATCCTATGGTCGTAATTGTGAGAGTCTCAAAACTCTCTTTCTCTCCCTCTCTCTCTCTTGCTAAACGAATTTATAAACTTGTTAATGCGTGTTGACGAGAGAGGATCAAACATAACAGAAGAAATAATGCATGACTTAGAATATTACTTGCACAGACGCGGACTAGACAATTTACAGAGATAATAGAGTATAACTGGTTCGATTAGGATTAAAATCCTTTATTCGAGCGTTGAAGCATTTTCACAGAGAACTGTTATAGATGTTTCCACTATGCAATCAAACTTTTATTTAATATTATATCAGAGCAGTAATTCAGATACTTTTTTAATTCGATATTTTATTCGTGCAGTCAGACTACTTTCATGTACACTAATTTATTTATCTACTATCACGGTACTTGGAATGATTCTATATGTTATTTCCAATGGTCCTCATGCTTAGAACGAGAAAAAGTTTCTTTCTCACATATACATATCTATATATGTATGTATATACAATATATAATAATTTCTAAATGCTGATTTATGTGTCTTTTTTATCTTTTTTGTATCCTTTTTTAACTAGAATAAATAGTATTGTTTACTAGAAAGATTAAAACGAGAAAAAAATATAATCTGATGCGCTTAAGATTCTGCGAATCGTGTGTGCGTTTTTGATATAGTAGCTGAGCAAAATATTTGCAAAATAGAAATATTAGAAAAATAAAGAAGTTTTTTGATCGTTAACTTGATTTTCTTCGTCGCTCCTCCTCATTGTACGTACCGGAATCTTCTTATACGAGAGTTTGCAAATCGTCATCCTCCAAGCTTTTATTACTGGGAGGTGACAACAAATGTCACATTTTAAACAAATGGGGAAATTCATTGCTAATTTCGCGTACTGATTGTTGATCTTCCTGACTTTCTCCAGTCTCCTCACAAAATATTCTACAATATATATTTTTTTACATTATGACAGTGATAACAGTTATGTTATGGTTACGATTATGATACAATAGTACTATGACAAATACAGACCTTGTAAAGCATTTTAATAGGTCTTCTGAACGATACTTATGCTCATTATAACTTGAAGTACGAAGTACTCGTCGACATAATTCCAAGTATTGTCTGCGCTGTAATGTCAATAATTATGTCACATCTTTTATTTCTGTAAGAGGGGTAAAAGCATGTACATATATTTCTAAGTACCTTATCACCAGGAAACATATCATATAATTGGCGCAATATAATATCAATTAGAACTTTAACGTCATTTGTATAGAATAGACCTGCTGTGACATCATTGTTGAACAGATCGATAAATAATTTCAGCACAGAATGCGGCGGCGGTGGTTCATGATCGAATATTCGCACAGGATCCTCTGTAACAGATCACAGGTTTGCTGGAATTTCAGTTTATTTCATGTAAAATACATCTCGTTTTATCTCACCTTCCCTATTGAATAACAGTAAAATCTTCTCAGTAAAGTTCTTTGCCACTGATCTTTCTTTCAATGCATTTAGAACTATATTTTCCGAATTTGTGAATTGTAAATTGTACGATAGTATTAAATTTACAAACAAATCCGGAATTTGATCTTCCAAATCCATATCAGGTGGATTCTCTATTAAGTCCAAAACAAATGCTATAAAATCCGAACCTAATTGCTCTGTAATAAAACTCATAATTAAACGTTGTAACATATAGAAAAAAAGTCAGGCGAAGATGTAATAGACGTAACGCATTACCTACTTTACTCACCCAAATGTGTAATTGGCATGGGTTCACCCATTGAAAAAATCATAGTAAGTAATAATGAAGAATAATTTAATTTTGTTACATTTCTAGGATTGCTCCTCATATCTCTGTATTCAAAGATATATCAAGTCATTATTAGAGTGTTATATAAAATAATACAGCTCACCAAATATTACCTTGCTAACTCCATAGGCAATATACTATTTAACATTATAGTCAGGATCACAGAATCTAGACTACACATTACTCCAAATGACTGCAAGAGCAATTGCCTAATAGTCCATCTTGGTTCCATTTGATAATATTGTATCAATATATTAACTCCATTATATTGATTCTGCTGTAAAACATATCTAGATACATTTGCATCTGCGTTAGTCTGTGAAATTAACAAATTATTAACTGATAGAAACGGAATAATTAATTTTTTTAATGCAATAAATATATGATATACCAATATAGAGGTGAGTTCTTTTATATAATCAACAATAATAGATTCATCTTCATAAAGCATCCAATTTCTCTGTTGAGAATCTTCCTTACAAGAAGTAAGCTCTGTAAAGATTACTTTCAATCTATTAGCGTCATATGTTTCCTCTATACTCATTTGCGATACCGTGAACGGTGTTTCTAACTGATGCAATAAGGCATCAAAATAATAGCTCACATTTTGGGGCAACAGTTGTTGCAATCCAGAAACAACTACCGTCACTGCTACCTTCGACATTTCGTAGCTTAATTGAGTATTTCTACGTACTTGGTCAAGTAACTGATAAGCAGTATGAGAGTTAATATCACATAATGAACCTTTTTTCTTTATAGGCGAATTAGTAGGAGTCTGTCTGATATTGCTCTGAGAGGGACTCTTACGAACTTCTGCCTGAATTTTCTGTGATTCAGAGGAAGACTGATGTGGAAGGGATTGCATCCTTTGATCGTTTGTAGGTGTGCGTTGGCATTGTGGGATAGCTGGTGCTTCCTCCTGTTCTGTATTACTGTGCACAGTTGTCTGTGCTGTCATGTATGAAGTGTTACTCTGCACAGTATTAATATCTCCCTCTTGAGTATTACAAACAAGCGATGAACGTATTTCTTTATTAGGTGTTGTATTTCCAAAGTCTGGAGGCATTGGAGCTTGCTTCTTAGGTTTTTTACTAGATTCTGCTTGTTTCTTTTTCTCTATTAATCTCAGAAGAAGATCCTGCTTGTCTAACTGTAATCCACTCTGTTTCTTAGTTTCAGCCTTCACACTTCCTATGCAGTCTTCCAAAAATTCGATCAATACTTGAGATGATACCTGGAATGTATTTCATTCTTAAAGATCTTCACATACTTCACATACTTATTACAATCTGATCCATACCTTTACAGTGGTGACGTAATTTGAGGGAATATATCCAATTTGGCCGTCTCTGTTAACGACCTGCCACCAATTTCTTTGTTTGGTATTGGTCTGATATAAAATAAAATAATCGCCCTCTTGAAAGCTGAGGGTTTTCGCGAACGTAGCTTTGAAATCGTAGAGAGCTTTAAGCACTTCATAGTTCTCTAATGTGCGTAAAACGATGACAAAAAGGATTAGGTACTTAAGAAATACCAAGAAAATTAGCAGCCACAGAGAAATCGATTAACTAACTCACCTAACCTCATAGAATTATCACCCATGATCGCGTATCGAAATGGAAAGTAATATTTGTTCAGGAGACAACGCCCAGGTGAGAAGTAAACGGGCGGAGAACTGCCTACCACCGTTCACTAATTTCACTTTCATTCGTGCTCGACATATTATTTTTCTACGGTCTCTCTTTTTGTTAGCTAACTACATATATAGAAGAATTCGACAGGGCCCTCTACATCGAAGTTCGAAAGATTGGACATAGCACAGGCCACTGATACATGACACGTGTTATATGTATGTATGTATTAATGTGTATATCAGTGACATAGCTTATGCCACGATTGTATACACAGATCTAACAAGATCCCGTGGTAAGGGTAGACTCTTAATAATGTCATAAGGTGTGTCCCGGTCGTATATACAGGCCGGAAACTTCCGTGGTGAGTGACCAGGCTTTTAGTGACCAGATGATGTTGATCAGTTTATTCGCAATAAGGCATTTTAATCGAAGTCTTAGGATTCGTTATGTAACGCCATTGTGTAAAAATACCCCAGACCTGATTAAAGGGACAAGTACACCACTATAATGATAATAGAGACCAATTTCTGCTTACATATATGAATACTACTTACATATATATATATATATACTACTACGAATAGCTGTATGTCTATGATTATATTATTATTTTATGTCGAGCTAATCTCTAATAAATATTATATGATATAAATATCTTTTTCATTACTAAAAACTTTTGTAAACTCTGAAATCACACTATAATTTTACACCTTCAATAAGAATTTTATAATATTAACATATTTTAATCGTCAATAATATTTTGGACATGATATTATTTACATATATTATAGATAGTGTTAATACATAATTACACAATTATTTAATGAATTAAGAAATACTAAAAACAAACTATCCAATATACGCATTAAATATAAAAGTATTATATATATGTATACATATTTGATTTATAATTATAAGTTACAATTTTATTAAACTTTTTTATTGGAAATAATAATATATATTTAATAATTTAAACATTTTTCTATACTGAATGAAATATTGTATATGTACTTAGTTTAAATACATGGTGAAAAATTATGAAAAATAGTTTATAGAGTAAGCTCAGTGGTTTAGTTTATATCCTTTACTTTCAATATTTTCATCAAAGGGTGACGTTAGATATGAAATCCTAACTTATCGATTGTAGCGTTCTATAGTGGTCGATTTATAAAGTACAACTCCAGGCATTGAGAGCATTACACCCTCTACTACAGGTTTATGTATACAACTGTGCTTACATATCACAGTAGAAATTAACA